GGAGGAGGACCAGCAATCTACTCTGTTGGAATCTGTTCTCACAGATCTTGCATGACTTTGGAAACCTCTTTCCTTTGGTGATTTTTGTTTGTTTGGTTGGGGTTTTTTTTAATTTTTTCCTGAAAAAGATATATTACAAGCAGAATTTAGGGTCTTCTGTAGGTTGAAGCCTCCTTACATGATCCTTGAAAAATAAATCTCTTAAAAAACTGGCCCTACTTTTCAGTAATGACAAATGGAAATGTGCTGCTCTTCATTCACATCCTTATTATCCAGCACTGGAGTACCATCGCAAAAGCTGACTGTATTATATTCATCTGCTGGTAGGGTGTATATAGAAGCCTATGTTTACTTAGGTGAAACATCATTTACTGTTTGATACCAATGTTGCTCTTAAGTATTTGACAATTGACTATATAGTCCATATGTTTCTTTTATATATAATATATTTATTATCACTCATTACTGAAAAAGTTTGACAACTTTTTGCTTTATTGTGGTTCAGGGTCAGGGTATAAATCAAAGGTGCTACTATGCTGCTTCATTCTAGGACTTAAAAAGGCTTTGAAGTGGTAAGAACAGGAATCTTGGAGATGACAATTAGCAGCTTTCTTGGATTACCAAAGAAAGTTCTAGATATTACAGATAGTATTACTTATTATTTTGAAGGTTGATAAGCAAGCTGTGACAAAGAAACCTGAATCTTATTCAAAATTTTAAAGACAGGAGCTATTCTAATGAAAATAATTATAATCTGTTCTGTAGATATCCTTGTCTTGCCTATAAGCAACTCTCTCCACAGCTTTTTTAATTCCCTATGACTATCAATCCTGTATTTTCATACAACTATGCCTTGCTTAGATTCCTTCCTTGCTGTCTGTTGGCCACCATCCTTTGAAGTCCCATTTCTCCTAGAAATATTGCTACAGCAATCATGTTCCCCTAATCCCTTAATTAAAGGTTCTATTCCCTTTTTTTGGTTTTTTTTTTGTTATTTCTTTGGTCATATATGAGTTTGAAATGATTTTAAAGAGTAATTCAAACAAAATGGGTATTTTTGTCATCCAGAAGGATACTTAAGTAAAAAAAGAGTAAAACACAGAATGGGTTTGGGTTTTTTTAAATTTATGATCTCTATTATTTTGAAAGTGTTCTTTTCTTGGTAAGCAAAGTATTTGCATTCAGTGAGGCTTCTGAAAGCAGCTTATTTTAGAACACAGTCCAAAACTCAACATCTACAGCAATTTTTTTTAAGAGCTCTAATATCCAGATAACTCCTGCAAGAGGTATGTCATGCAGATGAACTGAGGGGCATGTAGAAACTTTAAAACAGGAGTGCTCATGTTGGAAGTTGCTCACATTTGATGTCCTTCTAGTATATCTGTCATTCATGAGGGAATGCATAATATTGTGCCTTGTTATCCTCATATGAGGAATTTAACAGAAACTCCTTAAGTAGGGATTTGTTTCAGAAATGTCTTGTGAATGACTTCTATGTAAGACTGGGTATTTAAATAATTCTTAGTAATTTATTATTTTAACAGATCATTTGAATCACAGTTTCCATGAGTTAAAAGATATTTTTGTCATAATCTTATGAGTGATGGTGTATTACATTGCCATCTTCAGAACAATCCCAAACTTACCTATACAGCTCCTTCACGATGGCAACTACTTGTATTTATTTATAAGATGACTAGAGTTTTAAGACATAATTCCAGGATGCTGGTAATTGTAGAAGACATTAACTCTTTAGCAAAGGTTTGTGCATAGGAAGTAAATAAGCCACACATCTATTTTTCACACTCCTTATAAGGGAACAGCATTTTACATACCTGCATTTTATGAGTGACTAAGGACAACGGCTAAAAGTATAAAGTTATGTATTTACTTTAACATACTGTCACCCCAGTCGATGTTGTTTGACCATATATTTAGGTATTAACAGAATTCTTTAAAGTATTAATTTTTTACTGCTCTTCCAACACTTATACATCAGTCAGAAATTACTGTGATTTAATATTTGTAATATTTCATGTTAGTATTTACAATGGTACCAACTACAGCAGACAGCACGTAAGACCAGTTCTTAATGATTAATGAATTTAATAAATAGAATTGCCAGTCAAGAGAGATTAGTTAAACATCAAATATTTCAAATAACATGCAAATGCACGTTAGCACTTCTTCTGATGTAGTTGTGATTTCCCAGGCTCAAATCACTATTTCACTTTCTTATCTAAGTATTTTTTGTAGAGCAAGCCCCAGTGTCGTCAGAACTTTCCTGCTTCTGTATTGAATTTGATTTGCCTTTGCACACTGAAGACTTTTAAAAGATTTGAGATGCAGGTCTTCAGATCTACACTCCCCTCCTTTGTACTGGTTTCCTCATATATTGTCTAAGCCAGCTACAGCTTCTCTGCACAGCCAGACAACTTTTCATCAGGACAACACTAAGTATTTGGCTTTTCCTGAGGAAAAGGTTAAAGAGCAACAAAACATCGTAAGGTACAAAATACACTGAACTGCACATTACGGGGATACAGCCAGAAAAAACAGGTGAAGAAAAGCAGACAAACAGAATTGAACTACCAATAAGAAGGGAAAATACTAGATATGGGTGGTATTAATGAGTCGCTACTGACGAGACATTTCCCATCCAGTAGAACTCTCCTCCCCAAATACCAGTCCATATTCTACACCATAGATTTGTATTGACCCTTCTCTGTCTATCATGTCTTCAGTTTACGTTTCCTTTAATCTAAATGTCTCTAGCTCAACCGAACAGATCTTTTTAACTTTCAATTTATTTAAGGCAGCACATTCCATCTCACTTTCTGTACTTCTCTTTGTTAACACTCTCAGAAAAAGACTAAATAGTTACTGAGAAGGGGTAAAAAACCCCAAAACAATGACTGAGATTTGTTGTTATTTTCGCCAGGTTTCATTTTGCTAAGGTAAGATCTATACACATGGGCTAGCACAACAACTAAAATACCTTTTCTTTCAGGAAAATGCACTCTTCACACTCTTTCCAGCACTGAAGTTCTCTTTGTTAACAGGAAAGATATACTGTGGGTGAATATCTCAGACTGCTCATTTATGGACCTCAGTTACGTTACAGGTGCTGAAGTCTGAATAAGCAATTGATTTATACCACTATTAAGTGCCGACATTCTTTTCCCCAACAAAGTTTAATTGTTTGTGCAGAAGTATTGCCTGATAAGCAATACACCTTCCACCCCCCAAAGGTATCTCATGTTTCCAGCTTGAAATATGGAGGTGCCTTATTTGCATTGGGACAAAGTTCCTGCAGTGTATCATGAGTACATTAAAATACAACAACTGAATTGAGTTCAGCAGAAATCAGAGCAGCTTTTTTCACTTTCATGCAAAAGCACCTATTAAAGATGGAGCCACTCATATGACAACTGCCCAAACTAAATACAGGACGAAACTTTTATGGATGTCTTTATAGCAGACTTCCCTTCTCAACGGCTCTAGGTGATGCAGGCTGGACACTGTCAAACAATTCATCCTTTGAGCTACTGTCTGACATGATCTCACCTGTAACTTTCTCAGACTTCAGCAGGGATCTGGCTGGACAAATTAGTGTGGGAGTCAATGATCTGCTTTGTAGTCCGCCCTTCCCAAAGGACCTCCTCATAACTTCTGGTCATTAGGCACGATGAACAAGACTACAGTGCTGATACACATGGTGGTCCCATGATGGGCAACCACAAACAGCATGCAGCAGACAGAACTCCACAGCAGATGTATCATGTCACAGAAATTTTGACCATGGACGTGTTTGGTTTTGATCATATGGTCACTGAATTGTTAATTACTGCAAACTGATTTAATAACTTTACTAATAATATGAAAACGTACATTTCATACTCTTGATTATGAACAAAATGAGATATGGCTGCTACTATCAGGTTTTGATAAATATTTAGGGGCATTTCCTTAAGAGAAATCATGCAGACCTTTATGACAGACTGACTTACAAAGAAAGGAATTTGAAAACATTTAAAGGCCAAATTGTGATTAATTGTATAATTATATATTTTAAGGGGAATAGCAAGCTCCTTTATACATTTTAAATTATTTTTTTCTTTTGTTTGAAAACAGTTTGCTTGAAAATAGTGAAGCTTGCAAAACGTTCAATGAATTGAAATGATAATTCTTCAAATAGGAATTTTCAAGAAGTTACATAGTCTCAAGAGCATAGAAACATTGCTCATCAATGCTCATCTGGGTCCCAGTCTAGAAAACTATTTAAACATATCAGGTTAGTCTACAGTTAAATAAGCGGGAATTTATGCTTTACTGCCTGAGAACCTGGTAAGAAAGGAGTTAATAAATTGCTACATTTTTCTCCAAAGTCAAATAAAGGTTGAAAAATATTAACAAAGCTAAGAAAAGTTTCATTTTATCTGACACACATTGTTGCCATTCTTGCCTTAAAAATATGATTTAAGGAGTAAGGTCTGCTTATTCTTTCTGCCAAGGTCTCTCACATCTGTCCAGATCTATTGATTTCACTCAGTAAACCAATATATCTTACTGCTACCATACATAGTAAACGAGGTACATTTCTGAGTTTTGAATTTGAATTTTTTTAAGGACATCTGCTTAAATGTTTTAGTCTCTGGAATACTAGGAAATGCAGAGAGACTCTAGCCATGTTCTCCTGTTGCATTTTCTTAGAAAATGATTTGCAACTATCAATAGCTATTGACACAAGAAAAAAAAGTAACTTTTGCAGAGACCTTTACATAACTCTGCAATAAAAAAGGGCTTCAAATATACAAAAAACTAATGAGAAATTGAAAATATACTGCTGCCACTTACCGATCTACAGCTGGACTATTCAAATATGGCCATAACAATAATAAATAAGCATGTGTTTAATGCTTTATATTCTCAAAGCTCTTTACAAATATTCATTACAATGTTTCCAAAACAGTGAACAAGGAATAGTCACTTAGACTTACCCACATTTAATCTGCCTGTGACTTCCCCATTTGAATTGCGAGCATTCACAGTCACATTGTGAGTAGACTGGAGAAGCAGTGATGAGTCCTGAAATACAGAGAAAGCAAACACTATGTTAGGTAGAACAATTACAATTGTTAAAAATTTTCAAAATTTAGTCTAGTGTTGATATCAACTCGGTCACCACTAGATCTTTGTACCTACAAAACTATCCACAAATGTCATTAAATAACGTGGGCAGATATTTCTGATTACTTAACTATATTAGATTTAAAATAAGAAAAAAAAATTTAGGGAATAATTCAGGTGAACAAAATCTGTGTTACTGGACCAACGAACATGGTTGCTAACATTTTAGCTTTTGGAAAAAATGCTTAAGTACTGGATCTTCTAGACCTACAATTAAGTGTGAGCATTCCACTTTGTGAATTCATACTGTTGTATTAACTTGATGAGAAACATGCATGTGCATTCTGTTTCCTCAACGGTCCATGTAGTCTCTAGGCTGTCACTAAATTTTGGCACCTGGCACTGACTCTCCTGGCAAGGAAATTCCAACAGTGAGTGATGGAAAAAGTGGCAGGTTGACTAGATCAATGCTGACTTTAATAGATGACAGTACAAATAAGACTGTTAGTCTAACTTAAATTGTCTCCCAGTCTGCCACTCTGAAGGATAACAGGAGTATCTCAGTGGAATGAACAGCATCACCTTGTCCACATCCCTGAATCACAACTTGATCTGGGGCATTTGCTGAACAATCAGAGTCTCGTGCCTACCCATCATTCTGTGCTACTGAAGGAAGCCAGGGCATGCCAAGCAGGTGTAATTGGTATCTTCATTCATGCCAAGCACTACAATCCAGAGTAGCTATTGTAGGCAATTCAAAATTTCATGTCATTCTTAGACTGCAGCCAGAATGGAATTACTTCACCAATGCCAAAACATCCCATTGTGTTAACTCATGGCTTGTTGTTGTGCTTGTTGAACTCCTCCCAGGTGATGTACCATTTCCATTACTTATTCCCAGACCTGGCACTCTAACTATCTGTACTTCAGGCCTGTTGGAGCCTCCCTAAGGTACTCCTTGTCTTGAACAGCAGACGAACAACTGTTTTGAAAGACCTAGCTGCTCACTGTGCCCCACCAAATTAGATATACAGACAGTAATGAAACCGGTTCATAGCAAGAGACCTTGCTATGGGGTATTTGAAGGGGGCACTTAGAAACATCCTAAAAATTTGTGAGGAAGGCACAGAGTGGGTTCTTCTTATGTTTTTACTTAATTTATCACCCGAATTATCTTTAAATGCAGCTGATTTTCAGGGGGATCATAGTGGCCACTGTCTTTATTTGACCTTAACTATTAGAAAATCATCTGGGGACAGAAGGTCTGATCATGCTCATGTGGATCAACAAATTGCAGATACACCGGTAGACTTTAAAAGATGGGAGGAAGTTTTTTGCAGTACAGGTGCTTTCATACTAAAGCACGCTTTTTGTCTGAAGGACAAGAACTTAGTTACTAAGAGTGCCAGAGCAGATCTCAGCTGCCAAATTATCAGGGAACACATTATATGAAGAGAGTATTAGCAAGCTGCCTAATTGTGACCTCAGAGGAGATACTCATTCCTAGATAAATGAGTTTGTATTTACTGTAATATTGTTAAAGATCAGTCTCTTTCACAGGTACTTTTCCTGGACAAGAGAGCCCATGTGGCACGTTGAAGGGCTAACTCCTGAAAATAACTCCCAAGCCATGTTCTCATTGTAATTTAAGAGTATGAGATAACCCCAGAATTTTGAACACATTTTACATGATGAATTTTAGTACAAACACTTATCTAGTAACAGTGGTAGAAGCAATACAGAGTTTGGAGTCAAACTTACACTTTTTTAAAAAACCAAAACCCCAGTATCTTAAAAGTAGGAAGATAGACTCTCTCAAAAGAAGTCACTAAGTGAGCAAAATAAAATGATCTCATTTTGTAAATCATATCAGGAAAAAGTGAAAGCTAACAAAATTAATAAAAATAATGAAAATGTCTTATGAAAAAGTTAAGGCATGTATTAGAATGAACATTAATGGTAACAAGTCAGTATAAAGTGGAAAAAGAAGGTCAACAAAGATTGGAGATTGGGTAAATATAGTAACTTTAAGTAGATGTCTAAATGACCCACAAATCTGGGCATCTTTACTACATTTATTTGATTGCCACTAGTTGATTTTAAAAATAAGTTAGTAATTTGTAATATCAAATGTAAGTGCGAATAAACTGTATTCTAGACCTGTAGCTGCCACGTATGTGGTTTTGACTAATTCAAATCTAGTAACATATTTAAAAAACCCTCATCTTTTATCTTTCCTTGAAAATGTATTAGCAAAGATGCAATGGTGTTGTCTACAACTCTGTCTTGGACTCATAATGAAGGCATAAAGTTATAATAGGCTCCAGAGATGATGAACAGCAAGTAGATTTTCTGCTACATATTTTCTTAGCACTTTGAAGACCTCATTAGGTGAGAAAAGCTGTTAGGAGACTGCAAAGAGCAAACTATTAAGGAAAGAGAGAAAGCTCCTATGATAGCTGTGACGGGCCCAATTCTCTAAGACAAACTTAGAAAAAGAAAGCATAACAAATAAGTAACTTTACAAGAATAAATATATAGATTGCACCCAGGAGATCAAGATACAGGCAATTAAGCCTCTAGAGAGTTTAAATATTTAAAAAAGCAAGGAAACAAACAAACAGAAAACCTCTGATGAACTATCAGTGGGCCGAGACAAGCAGTAGCCTGAAGGCTCTAATTAATGCATACTACTAATGATCATGATGGGTCATTAGCCAGCTAAGCTTATATTAGATGCTGCCACACCTCTTTCTTCCTACATTGTACTAAATGTATTAAGAGCTGAAAAGAATATTAAGAGAGCACAAATGGTAGCTTAATGTTGCGTAACAATGTTTGGGAGTAGAGAGAGTTCTTAAGTATTAGCTATGCTGGTCTTACAAAGTTACATGTCTTACTGGATAAACAACCTCAAGGGAAATTCATTTAAGCACATAAATAGTTTTTCCACTGCCTGTTAAGCAGAAAAGAATAGAGCATAAGAAATAAAATGGAAATACAGATTCAGTAATGGAATTTCACTGTCTTAATTAAGAACTGTTCCTGATACTGGCAATACTTGTTGCAGAAAGAGAGAAAAAGAAAGGCTTAATACAAGTAAAGTATACTGGCATTACTTAAATTTTAGTAATCAAGTATTTTAACAACCTCATTCTGAAATATTTATTTACATTTTCTCTTGCTGTAGCAATACAAACAGTTTTTCTGTAGGTTCAGAAAAGTGGCTATTTCTTCTTGTTTGAAGATATGAAAGAGTCACATTTGGCTTTTACTGTCACTGAATAGTACTTTATTGAATGAAACGTCCCATTGGTTGCTGATAATGTTCATAAAACAAGGCTTTATTTTGTGAGAGTTTAGATTATGGTCAATAGATCTGAAAAATATTCATTTTACTGGCCAGAGGTAGATAACCCTCTAAAAAAAAATTCACTGGAATAAGTTTCCGAGTCCCCCCGGATAATTAAAAAACAATTCAGATTCTCTCTTTGTTTTTCTAAACCTACTAGTTCCACACAAGTCTTTCATAACATTCCCATTCTTGGTGATATTTTCAAGTCAATCTGTTTATATTTTCTTTGATTATGTTATTCCTTTTTTACCTCAATAATAATAACAAAACAAACTTTTCTGTCTGTGTAAACAAGACTAAATCTTAAATCTTTCCATTTAGACTTGTAGACCTTATGTACACAAATATATAAACATATCATACATTTGATAGCATTGTGCTAGAAGTGACAAAACCTGAATTTATTAGAGAAATTGTAACTTTTCCAATGGGGTACACTAATTTTAGAGATACTGAAGCTATTCTGTAGTGGATGAATAAACAAAACAAACAGTTTAATAGAGAAGCCTATGTTTTAAAATAATCTCAGTAAAAATGATGAAAATCTCTCCACACATTCTTAAAATTTTAGCATTACTTATATATGACAAACTTTATAAATCCTTTTTGAGCTACTGCTTATTACATGTCTAAGAGATAAATGTTAATTCTGCCATAGTATCATTGCAACATAGCATCGTTGCAACATCTGCCATAGCAACACTGACCTTGTAAAATATGTAGAAATATGTGTGTATATAGCATTATTGAAAGATTATCCGCTTACCACTCTAGAATGGATTTCTTTGGCATAAAGAGGGAATAAGAATTCAGATTCCCCTTCCAGACGAAGACCTTCTTTTGTAACGCGCAGGTGTCCCATTCCAGTCTAAGGAGAAGATGGAAGAATTATGCATATTTTTTTACTGTTGCTGTATTTATTTTGTGTTTTTTCACAAATTAAACACTTCTAGAGCTGCCTGCCTCCAGTCTATTGATAAAGATACAAATAGTAATGCGTTCAAAATTTTAAGAATTCCTTATTTCTTCCATGAGTAATTTTCTTTGAGAAATTGCATGTTTCAAGAAGTTATTAAACTTGGTGATTATTTTTCCTTTTTTTTTGTCAGAGGGAGGGGGCGGCAGGCAGGAATACAGTATTACAGTCACAACCTTAAAAAGAAGTACATTTGTATTGGCTGTGCTGAAATAGCTTTTGTATTCGCCTTCTAAAAATGTCACGAACAATAAACTGCTACATACGAGTACTTACATAACACAAATCTTATATTAACATCCCAAGGTTTATTTATCAATAATTTTACAAAGAATGTAATACTTCTAAGCCTACTGAAGAGGCAAAGAGAGATTTTTATTTGCTTCCCTTTTCAGTAATTACCTCCTTCTTTTTAATTAATTTTTAATCCATTGATTTAGGTTTTTTCTCCTCTAATTGTAGGTCAAGGCTCTATTTCTCACATTATCATGTACCTTTTTCTCTATCACCTCCTTCTTAGTTTTTGTACCTTTGTCATTCTCTCTTAGTCACTCCCTCCTGAGTTCTGCCCAATTGTGCTTTCCAGTTGATACCTTATTTCATTCTTTTTACTTTCTTTCATCATTATCATATTACTGATAATGTGAAAAACAAGTGAGGAATTACTTCAGTAAGTACATCTGAGGACTTCCAGGCTTCAGCTGCAAGGTATTTTACAGGTATTTAGCTAATTTGTAAAGGATTCACCCCTTTTCCTGCCATAAAAAGTGACAGAAAACATGACAAAAAAAGTGTAGCCTTACAGCTTGGCCACATGCGAAAATATTTCAAGCCAACTGACTCAAACTACAAGGAGTAAGTGGGAGGGCTAAATAAAAAACAATAAATCCAAAAAGTATTCCCACTCAAAATAGTTTTCATGTTGTTCTCCATATAAGCAGAAAAGATACGTAGCAGGCCACTGATGATACATTAATAACCTGTTCATCTAACGCATTATGCTTACCACCGATAAAAGTTATAACTTGAAGAGACTGTAATTCTTTTTAAATATGTGAGCTGTCTAATCAGATTATGTATTATATCTATACGTAATGCTGAAAAACATGTCAAACCAGCCTTCAAAGAAAAACCAGAGCTATTTGTTTTTGAGCAGGCTTGAAAAGAGACAAAGAGAGAAACAAGCTTTGCTTAAATTCCATAAGGTAAGAAATATTCATTCACTCCACTGGAAAGTACAACTGCAATTCTTCCTCAGCAAGGATTTGTTTCAGGAAAGAGGCTTTCAGAACAGCTATTTATGGAATCTGCTTTTCAAGGTCAAATATTTTACTGCTTCGAAATATATAATGTACTGACTTTTCTTAGCAGAAGCAGACACAACTTCTAAATTCTACCCCATTGCGAAGCTTTTAAAAGTACCTACTATATAGTGATATATCCCATGAGGTAAAATTAAAATAATACCTATGATGAGTGCCCTATGGCTTACATAATGACAATTTCTAGCCAGCACTGACTGATTTAAAAATATATTTTTCTATTTAAGACTATGGACAGTTTTTTCTAACCTGTAACACAAAACAGATACCACTTCAATGTCATAAAAACACAGAGGTTTTAAGACAAACACTTTTGAAAAGAATGAGATGAAATATCAGGATATTCTAAAGACTTATGGCCAACAAACATCTTTAATTAACCAAATTTAGGGTCTCATAATTTGGTCTGACCTCATGCCTTCTCCCATCAGGTGAAAGTAGATTATATTAGCGATTGGATTTGAAGACAGATTGCATATTTTTATGGAATATAAACAACTAAATAGTACATTATAGAGTAAGTACAAAAAAAGTGACATTGACAAATCTGAAATTTAAGAAGGCAGAGGAAGAAGTAGCAATTAATTCTTGCTCTGAAGCAGACTGGGGAAATTCACAAACTCCTGGGTGGCAACTGCTATTCTGCCTTTGGCAGAAAGAAATTTTTAGTAGAGATAAAAAAAAATTATGTGGAAAAAGATTATGCAATTTAAACAGTATACTCTTTCCACTGCCATTGTCCAAGATTGCTTGGCCCCGGCAGATGAACCTTAGGATTAAAGGGTGGGCTCAGTTCAGCGCAGGCTGTGTCTCACCTAAAAAATCCATTGCGCAGGCTGGAAAGGTAAAAGACCTTTCCCCAAATCTTCGTTCGCGAAGACTGGCCATTACTTACTTACTTACTTTCTAATGGATTCAGATTTCTCAGCAATGATTATTCTACAAACGCTATATAGACAAAGAAATGTCTTTGCCATAAAGAATAATATGCTGTATAACAAAACTTAGCACTTCCAACTTATCATAAGTTCATATTTTTAAGTAAATCTAGTCATATCACTCAGGATTACTTCAAAGAAGTACATCCTCAAGTATGTCCTATTTTCTTCATCAGACATTTCATTTAAGCATTGACACAAAGCTCACATTCTCACATATTTGCATAAAAGCCTCATTATCCATTCTCACTGACCACTTGGGAAGCACAAAACCAGGGAAATTTAGACTTGGGTTACGTACATAAATGACTATCTGTGATCACTAACATAAACTTTGTAAGATGCATGCAAACAACAAAACAATGTGGATTTCATATAATGAAATTACCGTTGTGATTGTAAACAATTATTATGTCCTTAGTACCGTGATATTTGAGCATCTTAAGATTGTAAAAGTACTGAGTAATGCAGTACTGTGAGATGGGGAAATTCTATTATCCTCTTAGATTTGGCAAATTGAAGTTACATTGAATATAAGAGAGAGGGATTTAGGATAAACAACCACCTTAACGCACTGAGATTCAGTGCTAAGTTCCTTGAATAGGCAGAGCCCAACAGTTATACATATGTTCTCTCAACAATCACTCTGCTTCTTATATTACCATTTATTGTGACTTCCTCAGTGATAAACAAACTTGTGCTTTCAGTTTCAAGGATTTGATTCTGTTCCTATTCAAATAATTGAATAAAAATATTTCTATTGACTTGATTAAGGGGTCCAAACATCAGTGACATGTGGACTTTGATGCACTTATACAACAAGATATTGATTAGGGTGGGAGAAAAAAATGCTTCATTAAACACAGCAGATGCACAGCAAATTTGGATTCCGGTTATCCTGATGTTGGTGACTGTAACTGCATGAGTGTGCTGGCCCTGAGCCGTAACACAGTGTTGTACCTATAGCTGCGACTCACATTTTCTAATTACTCAAAGCCCTAAGTGAGGCAGGGACTCAGCTGTACAGAAGAGAAGGATGAAATGGCACCTCTGTAAGACAGTAAGCAGATTTTGTTATTGCTGCAAGGAGTTGATTAGTGTGGAAACTGCTGGCAGCTGCCAAATTCTTATGCACCAAAGATGCAATTTAGCATTAGTGTTCACAAAGGTGTGACCAGTTTTCATTTCAGAACAGCTAGGCATATTCTAATTGAAGCAACAGGATGTCTTCAACCACAGTACAAGCTTTTTAATAATTTGAAAATGCTCCCAAGCAGGTAAGTGCTTGTAGAAACAGAGACAAGGCCTTCTACAAAAATTCAAGCTCTGAATGGATTCAAGCCTCATAAAAGCTCATGAAAAGCTTCCTTGATTGAGAAATCCTAGTCTAAAAGACATTTGACAGCTATTCAGTGAATTACTTACACAGGGATACTCCAAACCACCTGAAATAAATAGCCACCACTACAGAATCCAAGACATATTGTGTTATGGAACATCTGGATGGAAGGACTATCTTGGATGTGTTATCATTCTCTCAGACTCTAAACACAGACTGTAGGAGTGGAAAACAAGCAGATGAAGCTTTAGGGCCCTTGCAGTCACAGTGACTTGCTCTTGGGTAGCTAAGCCGCATGCTGTCTATGACATATGGAATCAAAAGAGCATCAGATGATTTATTTGGGATTTATCTCCCAATAATATGACAATGTAGGTCTGCTGCTGCAGGCATGTGGCCCTTAGAAATGAACACGAGGCATGGGGGGCATTGATTCAGTTTACAGTTACTATTTCTAGTGTCACCTACATTCAATCAATAACTGTAAATTGTATTTTCCTACCAACACAGAAACTGATACACACATGGGCTCACTATATTCAGTCAACCACTCTTCATATGATATGTCATGTCATATCATATCATTTCGGCACCTTCCCAGCATTAGACTCAAATGTAGTCCTCAGACTCCTCTAGACAAGAGAAATTAAACTTCTGGTCATGTATCAGCTAATAGTTGCACAGGAAGATATATATTTTCTTCTTCTGGGGAGAAATCAAATACTGGAAAGACAGGCCAACACATGTGTTAGCATGGTTACAACAAAAAATTCTCAAAGTTGATTCAAACATTAGCTTTAACACACATTCAATTCAAATCAAGTAGCTTCTGTCTCAGGAGTTAATAGCATGTTTGATTTGCAGTATCTGTTCCCTGAATATTCAACTTTTCCAAATACTAGAAGTCCTCACATGCTGTAGTGGTTGAATGGAACTGACAGTGATATTAACTTCAGAGTACAGAGGATGCAGCATTTCCACTCAGTTAATACCTTTTCTTATAGGATATTTACATCCTACTTCTAGGCCAGACCAGGGAAAGAGCTTGGCAAGTTCAGGCCAAGACATCAATTGTTGTGCCCCAAAGCTAGTTCAATTAATGGCTTTATAGATCCAGCTTTCACTGCAGTACTTCTTGCAGCAATTGCTATTTAGAGAATTTGCTTTCCAAACAAGAGTGTCCTGTTTCATTGAGATAATAGGTCTGTGGGTAGAGATTGTTAAAGAGCAATCAGCAAAACAGGACTGGTAATGAATCTGATGAAACTCTCTGTTTGACTTACAATATCAATT